ACATAGCCATCGGTAAACCTACCCAGTGGAGATTCCGAAAATTTGGGAAGTTTATGGTCATTTATCCAATGGGCTATTTGTAAAAACTACCCTCCTTTTGCTATTTCATGGTGTGATCAGTAGACGTGATATATATGAGTGAGCCAAGGTGTAATATTTGCCATTGAGAGCAGTTTGCGCCTGAGCAGTCAATAACAGGACTGTTTTTGTGAGCAGCCAAGCAATAATCATTATTCGAGAAAGCTCATCCAAAGGCTGCGACCGCAACAACTTCATTAGTCTGGACCGGGACAGTAATGCTAAATGCTGCAACGCATCACTTAGTTATGGTGCAAGAAACTTAGGGCAATTAGTCAGCTGACGCCCCTTAACTGTCACTTGAGCAGAACTCAAAATGGGCTTTCATGGAGTCCTTTTTAAGCCGAAAAAGCTGAACTACTGATAGGGTACATTCATTGCAACACTCTGTCCCTGAGGTGATTCGTGGTTGTGGTTTCCTGCTGGTATATCCCGGGTTGGAAACACGACATTTTCTACTACTACATAAACCAACGCGATCCTCACAGTTGTCCTACGAGAAGCAATTCAATCATCCGCAGCAGCTTGACAGGTCGATGTACATTTAACTGTCTCCACGGAAAGTGTCACAGTTTGAAAGACTATATGTGCAGCATTTTTCGACAGAAAACGTTACATTCATTCAAGCGATGTAACGGACTACTGTTTGCTGCAGTATCTATAGAATTTGGGGTATTTTTAGTGAAGACCAATCCTTCTAAGCTTCAAGCATTTTCTAATGCGATCTTGCTCAACGTCCCCTTACAACCCCAAAACGTCCAAATCTTATTGACCATTATATAATGGATGACAACTGCAGATTGGTATAGAATTAGTGACTGAACACTTTTTGTTAGGTTTACAAATCTTGAGCCTACCTTTACCTATAACAGTAAGTTGAGCTGATCATTACTTACTCTTTGTACCTTTCGAAGGACTTTCGCATAGTGAGAATCCGCTAGGTGACCATTTGTTATCTAACATGTGTAACTTCGCTGTTGTTGGAAACGTTAAATTTGCAGCAGAAGCGTTTGAAAGTCTACACCAAAACACCTTGTTTACATCTTCTGAGTTCAACTCTTAACATTAAATTCATATTTGTTATAGCTTGGATTAGACGAGGCAGCACACTACAATTCCTGCTGACTTCGCCTTACTATGGAAATGATGTTGCGCGTATAAATAAACCGAAATAACACTTTCAAGAGCGTGCCAGCTATTAGAGTCGTCCAAGACCACACAAATTCTGACACCGCATTTAAAAAATTAAGGAAGTCTACACACCTTGTCACTAATTGCTTGCACTGCATTTCAGTTGGCAAGTGCGAAACCAGCGTGAAAGTGATTATGGGGACTTCAAAAAGAAGTCATTTTGTGGTTCTGTTACGTGGAGCTCAACACCTGCTTACGTTTTCCTCGTGTAGTTGAACTCCGCAGCATGGTTTTCTCTGACACTACATGGCAAAACTCGGTTTTCAGGGACAAACAATTTATTCGACAAACCATAGCATAACTAACATCTTGAAACCTCGATGTAAATAACGGTTATAGCTAACCACTTCTCTGCATTTAAGAGCTTCTTCCTTTGAACTGGTCGAACAAACCTGCTCCAGCTCAGCCAAATACGATCAAACAACGTATAAGCGAATATGCCTTAGCTTCAAATCATGTGCTCGGTTCGCTTGCGGAGGGCTAGCCACTTGCGTCGTCCTGCGAATTCGTCCCGTTATTGTCAGTGTATAATCGAATCACAGTTGGGATCTCGTAAATTGTGAAAAATCCAATTAATCGCCCTCGCAATCACCATTATTGTCCACTGAGGACCCCGAGCACTCGAAGCCTTTGTTCACTCGGTAAATGATACAAGCTTTAGACGTTCGTGGTTTCCTGGCGTTGAGATATCCTAAGGCAGTGAGATCTCTCCTCAGAAATGGCTGACAGATCTGTGTTATGCACCATACGTATTCACGTATGTATGGATCAAGGAGTTGTTAATTAGACGAGTCGAGTCGTCCACGTTCGGCACCTCTTCCTAACGTCTTTCTTGCCTGATTCGAACATTCCAGGACAGCTTGGACCAAAACAAACACATACTTTCGCCAGAAGACGTTTGAACTTCTTGTGTGCGCAGTTTGTAGCAGCACTCCATCTGATGACTTAAGTGCATCATTCTGCATTTATCCACAGTGAATCGAAGTAGATTCTGGAGTAACCAAGCGTAAACCCTATCCAGATCGGCTTGAGGTTGTATAATATAAGCTGGTGTATTGATCGCCACGCACACCTAGATGCCGTTGACATAGAACAAATCGTTCGAGGTTTTAAGGCGTGACATATCGTTGATCTACGTCAAAAATAGCCGTCATTATGGTACCCCGCATTCAGTTTGGATGGGGGCTGATACGGATTTTTTCCTTTTCCCTCCAAGCGCCGGGGAAGGAGAAAGATTCTGATTCACCCTAGGAGAGGATCATCCATAATAAAGTTCAGGAGGTCTAACCGATCGAATGTTTTTGAGAAGTCGAGAAAAAATGTACATTAACTTCAATGCTAGTGTCTGCTGATTCAATCCAGCTACATTGTGTTAGCAGTAGAGTTGTAGTGCACGATGGGTTTCATTGAAAGTCATACTGTTCCCGTGAAAGGTAGTTAAAGACCTTTACGTAAGCCCTTAGCGCACGGGCAATATTGGCTTCCATGACCTATGCGAATGACAGAGGTAGGAATACGGTTGTAGTTGTTGACTGTAACGGAATGACTACGATCCTTTTGAATCGGAGTCATTATCACGTGTTTCCACATGTCGGGCATGTACATTCAGTTAAAACCGTGTTGGCAGAAGCGAGCAAAAAGGCTCAGCTAGGCTCTGTCCTATCGCCACAATTGACTTCGGATGAATGTTATTAAATTCAAAACAGCTGTGCTTACACACGGTAAACAGCCTTTTCAGCGCAGATTGTGCCGTGAAAGATATGTGAGTGAGGTTTGGGGTGATACAACATTTGTCATAGAGTTGGGTGATCACGGAACGCATTTTCCATGCGCAGGGCATTCACCACATCACTCGTGGTCCGTGCCAGTCAGTCTGCTCTTTCCAGAGGGGTTATTCTCCGTTTCTCTTGCATAGGCTGTTTACGTGTTGATACAGCAGCTGGTAATTTGAGACCATACGCATTGCCAACTTCAGCTGGCATAACAGTTTCTATTCCCAGACAATTTGTATACAGCGGTTACATTGGAGCACATGGGCTAGCAGCATGCAACAGGGACTTGATCCCCAAGTTGCTAATTTGTAACCTGGGTAACCCAAAATGTATTAATACCTGGGTTTAGGCTTCAACTGGCGCTGGTCTGCGGACATGCTCAGAAATGTACAACAGCCTTGCAATTCATTGTAGTAGTTTTTTCCTTGATAGGTCCCACGCCATAAGGAGGAATGGACTCATCCATTCACAGCTGAGATATTTTCGCAGTCAGTGTCCACTAATTTACAACTGACAATAGGGAATCAGAGTTAGTAGGATTAAAACAACTTGTAGACCATTCGTAGCACTCTATCTAATCTCCGACGTTCAGAAAAACAGGTGAGCTCACTCTTGCATCATTAGCTTTCGTAATTTCTCCCCGAGAATACCGGTGCTGACGCATTTTTCCCTTTCACGCTCATGAGAATGCCATCCTCAATAGTGCTTGGGGTGGTTGACCTTGTAAACACACTAATGCATTTCGGCCGAACTGTTCCTGTTTTCCACTATATATGTCCTACCAACAGGCGATTCTGAGCCTTATTCAGTAGCTCACCATAGTCGATGTCCCCGATCTCCAGAACTAGGATACATAGCCAAGAAACCTCGGCGCACCCCATTACAAATGTCTGAGTACAATTACCAGTTCGACGATCCAGGCTTCATTGTTAATCATCTGCGCATATACCGGTGTTGTACACTGCTTACTCCAGTGCTCTCAGTGTATGCTGCGGCTGACTAGTAGGACTCGAATGTCTTGGTTTCCGTATTTTATATTGTCTCAACTCCAGTGGACTTACCTGGTCTCCCCGGTGTTGTCCATTTGGATCTAAAACGTTTACGGACGGCCGGAAATCTCTAACCACCTAACTAGCCCAGGAGGAGACCGGTATTCTGAGTTCCGATTTTGGACCTTAATAAGTTTGCCGTAACTGAGGTCATCCACGAAAGGTTCACCGAGACCGCATTCCTGATAAGCTTTGTGCAGGGGCAGCTCTACCGACTTGTAGTTATGCGCACAATAATGGCATATGTGAAACAGCCTGTGGCTGGGTGTTTGCACTACGCGCTATGTAAATATGGCTTTGGACCGGCGATTAAGTTATCGCAAGCTTGGATCGCCCTCTTTCAACCAATCTTCTTTAGAAAAGGACATCAAATATACCATGCTGGTTCGCAATAGTTTCGATCATTCACATAGGTAGTAAGAGCGAACCAACATTGAGCAGTATGAGACCGTACATCAGCTGAACTGCTGAAATGTTACGTACGGTCACCGGTGAAACATAAAGTTGGAAGTTCGCTTTACAACATTGCAGTTTGTTCGATAAAGTGCTATTCTCATGGTGGAATGATAATTCATGTGCTCAACGGTTGTTGCGAATTTACAATAAAGTAGGATCTACCATGTCAGAAGAACTCAACTGATTTCATCTAATAATCCAACTGCAGTTTAGAAGCTTATAATATGTACCTAGTTACATTATCATTCTAATCCATGTTCGTCTTTGCCCCATTGGTTTTCAGCGTAGTCAGCCTGACGAGGGGTTAGGAAACTAAAGCTTCCACTTATGTCAATTTATAGCAAACTTCGTTGTGATCAACAGTGACGCTTACACTCATACAGATGCCTTAACTAAAATGTATCAACAATTTTACGTGGTCCACTGAAAACACGAAATAATTTCCATTTTTAAGGGAAGTTGGATTCACTTGCTCAAACTTGCTCGTCTACTTCGACTGGCTCGTCTATTCCAAAAAATTGAACGATATTCCCAACACAGCACCGTCATTCTGGGCCTGCTGATGTGCATGTTTTTCCTTATCGCTCACTGGTTCGCTTGTGGCTGGTATTGGATCGGCCGATCAGAACTTAGTCGTGAGGACACACAGGAATACAGTGAGTATAATCCAAGTGTTCAGTCGTTTACCTTTCTGAGGTTTTTTCGGCTTGTTATCACCTGAGATCCACTCCAGCTAACTTGAGAGCACTTACCTGTGCGCGCTGCATTTGCCACTTAATCGCGTACGACAACTGTGATTAAAACATGCTTATTGGAGTGATTAGCAGTGTATACACGGCTGTGAGCAAAGAGGATATCTCAACGCCCATTTTGACGGCAAAGTTACATATTCCTGGTTAATCGAGGACGCCGAAAACGCATTTCAATTTAGCAATAGGAATTTCCATTTCCATTTTATTTGCGACAGCTTGCATTCCATGAAGTTGAAACTATATTTTTAGTCAACTGGTAGTTCCTATCGCCAAGTTCTAGTTTGCTGAGCTAAATGAAGAAACCCCGAGTGGGATGGAAATAGATCCTCCTCGGATACATTCGTTAATGCGTCGGCACAGCATTTTACTCAGAACACTCATCGCACGATTCATTGTTACAAACGGAGAAACATTTCTGCATGTACACAAGGTCTCCTGAACAAGCTTGTCGAACTACGACTACGTCAAGCGTTAAATGCATGGGACCTAATGTTCGTCACGGTAACTTGGCTGCACTCAGAAATTACCGCCACCGAGGTCGCGATCTATGGTATGTCACTGCTCCGAAAAGATCGGCCTTGCAAAGACAGGCGTAATATTATACTACCGCAGCAACCTGCAGTGCGAACCGGTGCTCGATCCGGAAACGCAGGCCATGGACTAACTCTGGTGCAGTCTGTGACTGAGACGCATGGACACTTGTTTCTGGCCGTTGTTCGTCGTCCCCGAATGTCCACCCCAGACATGGATCTCCTCTGATATTATCTTCGGGAAGGGTTCTACGAGGAATATACAGCTATGTTCTCATCTCCGGGAACTTAAATGTTCACGATATGGAAGTTACGGCATCCCCAACCAGCAATTCAGAGCTGACTTGCAAGTGTATTGCATGCATTCTACTCTTCAGCCATGTCAGTTCGCCTACCCGTGTTAGCGCCGGAAATAAAACATCTGTGCTCGATTTAATGCTCACGAATGAAGAGCTTATGAATGAGGAGCCAAGAATGTAGAGCCCACTCGGGCAGATCGACCACGTAACAATAATGTACGACTTCGTGTGTTATGCGGATTATCCACCCATTACAACGTACTGCCAGAACTTGTAAAAGATGCCATCTGGGTTTTCGGACGACTGTTCCGTCGACAGTGCTTGGATGGAGGTTACTGGCATCGGTCAACAAACCACTTCGTTCCGCAAGATCACAAGCCTTCATTATGAGTAGAACTCGAAAACACATGAGAGTAACAGACTGAGCTTGGCATGTATATAGAGCGAATCCTATCTCTGACAACCGGAGTAAGTATGTTGTAAATCATAGTCACTGTGCCACGCTTGGGCGTGAGGACATATTTGTACACCAGCAGTGTCTAGCGGAAAAAATGTTTGCTAACAAAAGCTGCTGTACAGATATGTGAATAGCTTCTGGAATGTGAAGCGATGTTCCCCCACTAATATCAGCAGGTTGATGTGCTCAAACCGCGGTGGATGCAACCAACATTCTAAGGCTCCAATATGCTCCACTTTTCCGAAGTGGCACCATCATGTGTAACATACCTGTACCAATCTCCAAAGCACCAGTATTTCCGCATAACACTTTTAGTTCGGCGACCATTTTGAGGAAGCTGCTATCGTTGCGCACCCAAAGTTCCTCCGGAGTTGACACCATTCCGTAGAAAGCACTGCAGGTAGCAGCTACGAGGATGGCAGAACCATTAACGAGAATTTTCCAAATATGCCTGGACGAACAGCAGAGCCCTAAATGTGGAATCAAGGCATCACTACCCCGATTTTCAAGAGTGGCGGCCATTCAGAGCCAGCTAACTATTGCCCAGTGATTCTCATCCCGGGGCTGTAAAGGTGATGGAATCGCTCATAGCTGAGGCTGTAGTGGGCTACTTCGAATGGTGTATTACCATGGCACCGGAGCAACACGGATTCTGTCAGCATCTGTCGTACTACCAAACTACTTATTGCTCTTGGAAGTTGGACTGATATAGCCGACAGTGAGACCTGCATTGTTGCCCCCCACCTAGACTTTTCTAAAGCCTTCGACCGTACCGATCGCCTCGTATTTCAACAAGAGCTGCAAGCGTACGGAGTTGGGAGCACCGTCCTTGGGTGGAGCGGAGAATTCTTCCGTTAGCGGCAACTTCAGGTTCGAGTTCGGGACTCATTTTCGGATCCAATTAAGGTGGACGGCGGTGTTCCACAGGGGTCAGTGTTGGGGCAGCGGTTATTCTTGTTCTTCATTAAGGACCTTGTGAGTGTCACCAAGTCAAAGTTCCTATTTTTTGCCAATGACATCATGATATGGCAGGCAATCGGCTGTCAGGAAGACCACGATACTCCACAACGAGACTTAGACCACGCCTTTAAATGGCCAAAAACTAGTCTATTTCTGTTTAACACTGACAAATGCAAAAGCGTACATGTTCGCCACAAGCCAAAGTACGTATAAAAGCCTGGAAACGACATGCTGAAAATCATCTCACAAGAGCCAGATCTTAGGTCGGTGATGCAAGGTGATCTTGGCTGTTCGGCGCAGTCCTTGGACGCGTCCAAAACAACGAACCAACATGCGGATCTGTTAAGGAGGACGTTCGGGCGGTTGGATCCCTCCATCTTCTTCCAAATGCTAAATGCATATGTGAGGGCCCATGTAGAATATGCGATCATGGCTTAGCAACCCAGGTTAAAATGTGATCTGGCGGCGCCTGAGACCGCACAGCGTACAGCAACGAAAAGGTAAAGGGGGTGTCTCACATGCAATACCATAAAGGACTGAGGGCCCTAGGAGTGTACAGCGGCACAGACGGCCGTCTATGGAATGACCTCATGCTGGCGTTGCAGATCTTGAAAAAACCCGGGCACGCCTGCCGCCACGTCCTGAAGCTTAACCACAACACGTACTTAAGGGGTGATAAGTTGATATTGGCCACCCAATACAGTCGGCTGGAATGCCGCCGGAAGTATTTTTCCCTTCGAGTTTGTCAACCGTGGAACGCTCTTTCGAATATCGTCATTTCCGCGCCCACACTACCCGTTTTTAAAGACGAATCGACGATGCTTCGTAGCACCTACATTATTTGATCTGATTTATATTCACTGAGTGACGACATGGCGCAGGCAAACAATGTGCTCACCAACCTCACGAAATCCGGGTAGACGGATATAACTGTGTTAATGTGGATATTATGGTCAGTCCACAGATGCGTGTTTTCACTTTTGTGCAGCATTTATTTGAACTAACGTTATTCCCACAACCCATCCTAAGGAAATTGTCATGCCTTGGCTTTTTATCTGTATTATACCATTGTTCCACCGTTCCATTGTTTCGACGCATGTATGGCCTAAGTAAACTGAAACAGATTTCCAAATTGGTCATTTGCATGCGCAGAGGCTTGTTCATTTGTTACCGATAGGCCGCGAATGTTCTGATTTACGTCTTCTGTATACATGTGAAGTTGGTGTAGCCACTGATCAGTAAAAGAGGTTTGTAATTTCATTGGACAACCTAAATCCATCACTTTTATATCAGAATAAGTAACCATTTTGGTCGGAAAATATAACTATCTTGACTAATCGTGTTGCTAGGGTCATCACTTTATGGCTGCCATCCAGATAAGGTGGAACATGTCGGATTAATCACGGCAGTTTCATACTTCTCACATGTATACTTATCCGATGATCATACTCTACTGCGTGTAAAGATCGACAAAGCAGTGTTAACATTTTCTAACCTGCCAGCATACCTCTGAATGTATATAGCGCAGTAGGACGCATACAGAGGCACACATTAGCCAGATTTAGCTCACTAAAATGTGTACATCTATTGTCAAAAGCCTTTAAGTTGATAATTCAAGTGCTCCCGAACTTTGCACTTCATTTTGCTCGGACTCTTTTCACACTGGCGGGGGTTTACTTGAGACAAAATAAGCAACTCTGCACCTTTCTGCTAAAATTATTTCCACTGGTTCTACAAGGTAGCAAAAGCAATCCTTTCATTGACAGGACGCGTTTCTTAAGTTCAGAGTTGGCGTTTTTTGTTTGATACTTACTTTCTGCAACGCTCTTGTTCGCGCCACGGATTAGTGCAAACAAAGTTCTATAAATCCTGAGGTTTATTGTTAGCAATATAAACAAAAGAATGTTATTAGTTTAGCTGGATTTAATTGTTAGGTTTCTCTGGTTAGACTGCCTAGCTATTCGCTGTCTATGTGTGTCAGTGGTGGACATCCATCTGCTTAATTACCTCAGCGATTACATGGCATTTTAATTTTTAATATCATCCCGGAGATATCGAATATTGTACAAATCGTTCCTACTAAACTCACGTTATATTGACCAAATCAATCGGCAATTTAGGTATGCAATTACCGTCCAGAAAGTGAGCGTTTGTAGCCTAAATAGGCTACAATTTCCGTATGGTTCTGCAGCATTTCTCTCCAACTTAACTAGATAAAAACCTAGCCCAAAAGCTTAAGTTATTAAGTAAGCCTGTTTAAAATTGCACTTGGTTTCACTAGGTTTGCTTAATTTGTTGCATGACTTCGCGCAGTGAATTATAAGGTAATATTAAAAGTATGTCTAATCACAACAGTTCATTGTAACCTCCTGTGCAGGCACACATAACACTCGCCTCGCTTCTTCCAGGTTGGTTGGTCGAACTGGGCAAGCGTATGCGGATGAGCACACTGTTAAATCAAAGTGACGGCCTCACGCAACGTGCCATCTACGTTTCCAGTTTGTACTTCGCTACCACCAGCCTGACATCGGTGGGATTCGGGAACGTTTCGCCAAACACTGTGAATGAAAAGGTCTTCTCCATAATAGCAATGCTCATTGGAGGTAAGCGGTCCTCATTCTCTCCACATGGAGTAGCGTTATTCTAAACGGAAGCAAATGCATATGAGAGTGGTGCGCGCTATCTTAGTCTTGACCTACTCAGATTAACCAGTTCCAAAGTAACGCTAGAAGTGATCTTGTCGGTGTATTCAAATTTTAAGGTGCCTTTCTGACAGCTTGATTGTCGTCGAAATGATGAAAACGCAACCATAATGGTTGCATAAATCCAATTTCCCAACAATATTAACTAGTCTAATATTCACGGTAATGCCAAGTGTTTCCAGTTTACATGGACTATTGTGCCTCGAAATAATCTCATTTATAATTTGGAGTTGACACAGAACCGGTTATGGGAAATCGGCCTTTATACTCAGCACTTAAGCCCGATTAACTCTAGCTCACAACTGTACTTTGCACGTCACAATTAGAGTTAAATATTTTGGGTTATGATTAACCTTGTACATCTCATGAAATTGTCATAAGCTTGGTAGCTTCAAATTGACCTGTGAAAATTCTCCATCTGCCCATAAGTTGTGGCCTAGAAAGTTATCCGTCATTATCATATTTTACACTGTATTTACACTTCTATTTGCACATAAAATTATTAAACCAATTTTATTGTACATAATATGAAACGTCATCCTTTTTAAAACGGATAAACTAATTGTTATCAAAATAACGTACAAATCTTACACAAACCTGAGTACAGATCCAGCTGGACAACCAAAAATGCATTCTGGCACACGTTTCAGTTAGGAATAATTATAAACCGATCTCTGCTATCTTTTGGAAGTTTCCATTGAGCAACTTACAACGACACAGCAATTAGTAACTTCATTCATCTTTGTGAACAAAACACTCTTAGTCACTTGATCTATATCCGATTATTTACTGCGAATGGCTTTTCAACAACAAGCTTAACATTCTTAGCCCACTTTTTGCAAATGAGGTGTTGCCGACGTTATCCGGCCCGAGTTTCCGGGCTACACCTAAAGCTGAATAAGTTCTGTCACCTCATTGTCCATTACTCTCTTCAAACAGCTCTGATGCATGCTGCTGTCTTTGGGAACGTCACCACGTTAATTCAACGTATGTACGCTCGACGATCAGCGTATCAAACTCGAAATCAAGATTTGAAAGATTTTACGAGGGCACATCACATTCCAAAACAACTGAAACAACGTATGTTGGAATTTTTCCAGGCAATGTGGGCAATTAACCGTGGAATCGATAAGGAAGCAGTAAGTTTTTGTCATGACTATTCAACGGATATATTCTGACACCTAAAATGCGGACGTTACATGTACGGACTTCACTTACCACATGCCATAGCTGTACAGCATAGTAATGCACTGTCCTTATGGAATTTGGAATAATATATGGCTCTAATCAAAGCTGCTTTCGAAATGAAGTAAAATCGATTGAACTGTATTTCCGAAGTTCGCGATAGCAATGCAAAATAGGCGATGTCAGCTGGAACGATCACTACCTTCACCAAAGCCCGATTGCCGCAGAGGATTTACGGGGCTTTTCTGGAGCGGTAACAACGGACTGTTAACAGCTGCTTAATTCTCGCTCTTCTTTTTAACCGATATACCCTTCTACTCCTTCATGCATTGTAGTCACCGTACCTCTATTAATGTCGGAATCACTAGCCCTATGCATTGTACCATTCCACTTGCAAGTAACCTCTACGATTTAAGATATCAACAATATTACCAGTTTTAAAGGATGCGCGTGATTAAACTCACGCGCTTTTCATCCCATCCCCCATTTAGGTAAGATCTTTTGACACAGTAATATCCAGGCTCTGCAACAATCCTAAGCAAGATCAATGCTCTGTTTCTTAGGAAGGTTGTGGTAGGTTTGTGCCCTTTTATTTCGTACATATCGTCCAACTTATGTAACACGCTACCGATCAGACGGAACCCACACTTTCGACCCGCCGATCAACATGAGGCGCATGTTTACATTACCTGCGACGATGGCCCAACGACTGGACACAGGTTCCACGTGTGATTCACCCACCAACAATTGGGCGTTGACTGACCTTAGAAGTTGCGCAGGGCCATACAAACGCAAGTCATCCATGAACGTGATACACACATAGGGTAATTGCGAGTAATGTGTTAAAGTTGTCAAGACGCGAAAATCGCGTTTAAGATGCCCTGAAGCATTTCACCTTAGATATGTATGTCCAACTCTACCTGAAACGAGACAGCACAACAGCACAGCCGAGGCGTGTTGACGCTTCTAGCTATGCAACTCTATCCTTTGCCTCAGCTGCATAATTGCGCTAATGAACAAGTGTGAAAGGCTGACTGAAGCAGTGCAACCGGTGGACGTCAGGGTTACATATCTCGAAGAAAATGGAGCTACAATTACACCTCAACGAAAGAAGCTAAGAGGAGACACAAAAGCCCTAACCCACCACATCCTCTCAATCTCCAGTTGTCCCAACACAATGCACTTCCATAATCGGACTTGTATTATGCAGCTTCGTTGATTTCACTCCCTTCCAGGTTGTCGCAACCAGTAATTCATTTACCATGCTGGTTAACGTAATATACAGTGAAAAACTATACATCATGAACATCGGTTTCCTGGAGGAAAACACTGTAAAAAGCACACGTAACTCTGCTTCCTGAAACGCGCGAAACTGAGATGTCGCAGCATGGGTTGCTATCGTCATTGTCGCCTACTGATTCGCAGAAAGCAACGCAAATTAGCGCTCTTAAGCAGAGAGCAACCAAGCGCAACCATGGTGCTTAGGTCTTAACTGCCCTAACATTGCCAAATCCAAATAGCATGCAATGAAGCTGGAGTTGATGGATGATCGTTAGTAATGTGGTTCCGTCTGTAGTGCGAACGATCTTCGTGCTGACCCCAATGCCATGCGATACATTGCGTGTCAATCAAATTCATTGCACTATAGTGAATCTCGATTACTTAGTGTCAGGATGTCCAAAGTCCTGCCCGCGGACCAAATGCGGCCCGCGTTAACAATCCAACTGGATCGCGGTTTTATCAGGGAATAAAATATTCAGTCTTGGTCTTTAACATACATGTGTAATTAGTGTTTTTATCTTAATATTAGACTGAATATGGCTCTCTGTACTAAATGTTAGGATACTCCTAAGTTAGAGTATTATTAAATTTATCGGATGAAAAATAAACATTTCGCTTTCTGTCGAGCGACTCCACCAAGTATAAAGCGGATTGCTTATACTACCGAACATCACGTGGAAAGAATGTTTAAAGATTATAAGCAACCAACAATGTGTAGAAACCGTCATTGTTCACGGTGTTCTTCATTCCTCGCCAAGTTGGTATAAGTGTGCAAACTTTGGTTTTAACAGAGATGACCAGCCCAATTTTAATAGCTACTAATATGAACTGCAAGCAGTTCGTGCTTCACAAATGAGTTACACAGAAAACAGGACTGGGTTGTGTGACTAAACAGTCAAATTGGGAATCGGAGTAAGGGCATCAAGAATGCTGTGAAAGATACACTACATCAGAAACTGCATTCGCTCTTCTGTGGTCTATCTCCAAAACCTAGGTGCTGAACGCAGTACTGCAGCTTGGAACCACTGCAGCAGAGAAGTTCGAAACTGAGCTTGAAAGGTTGTACTTATACTTAGTGGCTTCATCATCAGTTACCTTGGAAAAATGCGAAGAAAACAAATATTTATGAAGTCGGGTCTCAGCTTAGTACATGACCTGACGATGCGTCTGCGCGCACACGCCTTCTCAGCCCTGTTGAGCCAATGAGGAATGCATACAGCGTTCTACTTGTTCTAACGCAAGACAGATGCGGCTTGAGGGAGCACAAGTATTAATAACAGAAAGAGTATAATGCAAATATTTTGAAGAATTCTGTCGGACTTGGGTGTGCTCAGTAAACAGTAGCAATGTTTCGTCCTATTCGAACCACAAGATTTTTGCAGTTCAGAAAACAAAATAGAGCATAAAAACAGAGTCAAACTTTTGAATATATTCTGAGCAGAATGCAGAATTCTCACCAATACCCTTATTGCATGGATGTTAGTCGGTGACATTGCCTCAACGATTGGCTCAGGTCGATCAGCATCATGATTTAACCCAGAAGATATTACACAATAGCCCAAACAACCCGTTTATTTAACACCTATCCCACTGTCTCTGGGTTCCCATTTACCTCAGCGTCTTTTCGGTCTTTTCAGTATCTATAGCAAACAGAAATCACGGCTAAATTTCTCAACAGCATGCAATACTACATTTATTATTTTTCTCACCCCCAACCGATCATCCGGCGGGATATGTCAAGCTTTGGCTTCCTTTATCTGCAATATACCATTGGCCATTGACCATCTTTAAAATCTTCGACACCTAAACCATCACAAATGAACGTATGACACAAGGCAATATGACTGGAAACTAACTGAGCTCGAAGTTGAAGAAGCGGTACCGATCCAAATAAAAAGGCATAATAATTGTAGCACTTCTTAGCATAACTTGCGAAACGGTATCTGTTAATATGCATCTCTAAGTTCAGTTTTAACAAAACTCCATAACCACTTATGCCGGAAAGAATACTTTCAGGTTCATCTATAGTGCAACTAAACTGCTACCTTCTCATTAATGGCGTTACAATAATCACCACTTATTCCGGGAATCTAAATATCTGACTTCAGTGAGATGATAACCGGTGTTGCTTTGGGAGTCTAGCGTTGTTACTAGTACTCATCTTGCAAGCAAAGAGATTAAAGCCTTCCAAACAGGCTTGCTTATAGCTTATGATAAAGTTCGTTGTTTTTAAAATACCATGTCTTAAAAAATTTAATGTATACTGGTAGAAATTTTATACAACTAGAAAATGTGGAACAATCGGAAACAGATAGAGAACAGGCATTTCGTTGTCTGCTTTCTACAAGGAATTGGAAATTAATTCCAGTGCTTGCCTGACTTTAAGCCTAAGGATAGAAAGGATTTGCCTTGTGACAACAAAATTAGCACCGCGTGATTGCATTCTTTCCTTTGTACTAGCCAAATTCTGCAGTGTAGAACAGGGATTTATGCCCAGCAATGTCTTTTGTTATAATAAGATGTGTACGCAGCTGTACACCAAAATCAATGCGGAGATTACAGGATGTTGACAATGAACTCACGCGATTTGCCGTATCTAAACTGAAGAAGTTTGTGCAAAGGAACATTACCACTGAAGATCAGCATTGGCTACTTGCTACCTTCAAATAAGTGAACCATCCTATCCTGATATAAACTCACAACATTGTATGATTTCGTGTTCCAATGTAAATTACAAATAAGCGTAGTCACCTGCAGATTTTCCCGGTGTGATTGCTCTACATTGGGTAAAATATTCAAAAGTATAGCTGCAGGACGTGTCTAGGCGAATAGGGCAGTTTGCCAGTTGGAACGTTGATCACGCTTGTTTAACCCAACCACATCAACTCTTTTGGCTCTCGTCCGGCGACTGGCCTAGAAAGCTGGTTCCGATTTCTAACTAATTTCATTATACTACTATAGCTAGACAATGTTTCACTTCGTGTAGGTTTCGGCAATAAACATACATTTCGCTGAATTCATCCATCTTCTCGCGTTTTCTCCACGGCCCCTGAATCTGGGCTTGTAGCGACTGATTTTCTTCGCCATTTGAGTCCAACCCTACTGAAGTGCAAACATGTTGAAGTACAGTGCGAATATTTAAGAGGAGAAGTAAACTTTCCAACTGGGGCGCATTGGTTATGCCATTTAGAGGCACCATTAGGATCAGCAAAGTTTGAGCGAATTACCATATCGGGAAGATGCTCTTTATGTGAATTTGAGAACTTGCTTTGAGACCGTTCTTGTGGTTTAACAGAAGCATTATTTATGGCCGAACCAAACAACGATTGGTCATCAGACGTGTATCGCACTTTGCAATTTTGTACATATTTTTCTAATTTTCCTAAATTAACTATTAACCTGGCATTTTGGCTGGGGTCTTTAAATCGGCGGTTGCCGTTTGACTAAATATCGCCTTTATTTTGTCCAGCACGGAGATAATAAGTTTTATAAAATATAATGTAACAGCTTGTTGCGCAACGTAGTTCCAAGGTCAACAAGAGGGATTTTGAAGACAATGACAATATACCGCGCACAATTCGCGCTGTTGGTTTTGGCCATGAACTGTTTTGCCCATTGAAACCAGTCAGTAAGAAATGTCCACACAAAACTATACTCTGGAGGCTGGAAAAAA